TATATTTAAGTATTATTTTAATATTTTATAGTATGAATTAAAAGTATCTACTCAAAATCAAAAAACTAAAAGACTTATAATTAAGCAGTTTTTTGGTAGAGTTTTATGTATTTTGTTCATGAATATAATAATGCAAGTGTAATGCTTATATATATTAAATGGACTAATATTTCTAATAAAAAAACACATAAATTTGAAATTAAAAAATTTTGGTATTTTGGTCATAAAGAATTTATTGATGTATGAGCTATTAAAAGATGTGTAGGGTTCTTTAAAGTTAATAATGAATACTATATATTAGATAATAAAAATAATATAAGTTTAAAATAAATTTAAATATTTTTAATATATTTATTTAATATATAGTAATTTCTTATTTTGTATATAATTATAATTATATAACAACTACTTGATTTCAAGTATTCTTTAACATGTTATAATTAATTTTATTTTTGTATTTACTCAGTATAACTATTCAGCATTCATTCTGTATCAAAAATGGTTCCATATCTACTTAGTATAACTATTCAGCATTCATTGTATATTGAAAATAGTTCTGTACCTATTCAGTATAACTATTCAGCATTCATTCTGTATTGAATATAGTTCTGTACCTACTCAGTATAACTATTTAGCATTTATTTTGTATCAAATATGGTTCTGTACCTACTCAGTATAACTATTCAACATTTATTCTGTATCGACAATGATTCCATATCTACTCAGTATAATAATTTAGCATTAATTTATTATATAAACTTATTATTTAGTATATGTATATTATATTCAGTATATTATTTGTAATTTTTTTTATTATTTTTGTATATATTTTTTCATAGGGTGGATGGGCTCTCTTGTAACTTGCTCTCTGAACATTCACATATAATAGTATGAAAAAAAAATCCACTGTCGTGACATGTCATGAACGCAGGGATACGGAAAAAGCATTCAATTAAAAGCAAAAATTTCGATTGAAATGGATAAAAATTTGATTTATTACGATTTGACCGGAATTAAGAACAAAATAATGATAACCCGGCTGAAATTAAAATGTTGAAAACCATAAACCAATCATTTTATATCACATGATACGAGAATTTAGTTTCTTCTCTTCTTTCCTGCCACATGATATATACGTATATGAAATTAAATAATGGGACATGTAAAGTCAGGGTCTCAGCGCGGTATAACTCCCATTTTATGTTTTCATTAATCCATAAACTATTCAACCTACAATAATCAATTATAATTGACATGTATCAAAATCGTTTATGGCAATCATTAGATTTTAATTGTTACACAGTATATGATATGAATTTAATCATCTATAAATTCATTTCTGATTTTAAATTTAAAGTCAGTTTCTAATATTTAAAGGAGCAAATTATTTGTGTATGCACCAAGATGACAGTAATAGAATATTAATACGAAAAAATATGAGTATGGTTCCAAAGGTGTGGAAATGAGTGTGAAAATGCCAGTTCCCAAAAAGTATTTCCTATAGGAGAACAAAAGGTTGATGATCCAACACAGGAAGATATTTATATGTACATTGATTCAGATATGCGTGATATTTCAGGAAGCACTTTCGAAGTCATGTAAGTCATTTCTAGGTTGTGCATAATATAAATTGTAAAAATAATTGGGATATTATATGTACATTGATTCAGATATGCGTGATATTTCAGGAAGCACATTCGAAGTCATGTATGTTATTTCTAAGTTGCGCATAAAAAATAACTAGAATAAATGCATCAATGTAGGTGCTAGCCTATTCGGGTCAAAGGTTGATCATCTCTATATATTTACAGACTATACAATAAATTTAATCCGATATCAAATTTAAAAAGAAATCAGTATTCATTAAAAATATGCAATATCATAATTTTTTTGCAGCACTTCTTTTTATAACTATTGTAAAAGAAACTTTTATTTTAAAAATTTTGGTGAGAGGTAAGGATAAATTTAGAATATTGAATAAAATGCAAAATCGGGGTTATTTTTCATATGTCAAAATCGGAGTTTTTTTTACCTATGAAATAAAGCCGTTACAAATTCTAACCGAACATTATATTAATGCACTACTTAAACCTTGTGATATATAGGAGGTTGCAAATAGAACGTTTAAAAAGTTGCCATAAAAATGATATGCATAAAGCAATTGTCCACTTTGGAAGAAATCCTTTGCACGCGAACGAAGACAAAGTGTAATGAATACGTGCAGTTTTAAAAAGAATACTTTCCAAAAGAAGAAGTAAACAATTCAGAACGATTATCGTCATGAATCTGTTGCTTTTTTTTTTTTTTTTTAATACTGATAGAATTGATACCATATACATTACTGATTGGAAATAGCCGAAAATTCGGCTGAGGGTATTATGTCTGCTAATAAAATCATACTGAATAGATTGAATAGATTGAGTAGACTGAATAGACCGAATATAAATTAGCAGAAAACTCTCAACACGTGCACATGTTAGAAAACATTGTTATAAAAAGATGAATGCTATTTCACTATGGCGTCATAAGAAATAATGGATGAAAATGCCCGAAAAAAATACTGTGGCCTCTTAATGTTTGATGTTCCCACACCCTCATTTTCTAAGTCAAATAGGACGTCGTCTTCCCAGCTTACTATTGATTCTACATCATCTTTGGAAAACAGCAGTATACGCACCCAAGATAAATTTATTTTTACATCATTCTTGGAGCCAATGAAGGTTAATCCACAGCCCTCTAAGAATAAACCAACAAAAAATAATCAAGTCATAAAGGTTCCTTTGCATCAAAAAAAAAGAATTCAGCGACCTCTGAATTCTTTTCTTTTATATAAGCGATCAAAACAACCAGAAAAAATTACATGCCAACATGGTGATGTTATAAATGCTGAGATGTCAGGAATTCATGCAAATTTCTTACAAAAGGAACCGGAAGAGCGCAAATTTCATTGGCAAAATTCGACAGATAAAAAACAAGAAAATTCTATGGTAACATATCCAGAATACTATTATTACCCTAAATTAAGCAATTTTTCTGATCATAAAGTGGAGGTCACAGATTCGAATCAATTTCGAAATATGTTACTTGGAACACAAACCAATGACAATATGTACGCTCTCTCTACAGAATATATAACAATGGAGCATACAGATATGTCAATTCCTTGGGCTTATGATCATTTTGAACAACCGAATTACTCGGTGTTACCATCTATTTTTCCAAAAGATGATCCAAAAGATGATAGTTCACAATCACATATTGACACCATTACATCGATCCCTTACCCTTACTGACAACATTTATCCTAACTAAGTGCTTACTTTTTCTGTTCATATAATCCTTATGATATCATTTCCTCCCCGTATTCCTTATGCTACACATAATACGCATATTTATATTTAAACAAAATATGTTTTTAATTAAGTCGACTTTATTACATGTAAATATACGAGGTTTGCAAACCATCATCATTCACTTCATATATATATATATTGCGACATTTTTTTTATAAGAGAATCCGAGTATCGATTTTACTCTTCCGTTTTTTTTTCAATCGTTTTTGCAGAATAATCGTAAATTCTGTTTCATTATAAAATAATCAATTTTCAATAACATTACGTTTTTCTCGATTTAAAAATAGCTAGTACTAGTATATAGAAACTACGACGATAATGTATAGATAATATATAATGACTATTTACAATATTATGAACCATTGAATTAACCACGTGAAAAATAAAGAATTTTTCTTAAGCAACTATTTCTAGATTTTGAATAAAAATTCATAAAAGATGAAAAATATTAATAAAACAATATCCTTGCTTTACGTTTGTCCAAATGATAGAGTTAAATTATTCAATGCATTGAAAAAGGCCTAATAGTCAGGTGGTTCTTAAATTGTTTAAATTAAAAACCACATAACACACACATAAAATATTACAAGGCTTTAGATGGTAACTTTCTATGGGTGGGATTATGGCGTAACATGCTATTACTAATAGGTAAAAAGTTGGATGGTGGAATTATCGTTATGGCGTAATATATTATTACTAAATAGGCAGCTTATGTAATAATAGCCAAAAAGTTGGTTATTGACAGCATCCTAATAGTAATCTACCCACATAACGACTCTTATCATGCACATCACAAACCTTATCATTGAATCTCACATAATTAAATTATAAGTCGCAGAACTGGTTTATCCGCTTAAACTACATGCAAACATGTGATGACAAAAGTATCCAAAGTTCAATGTTTGAATTGTCAAAATCGGTATTTTTGGCGTTACTACGTATGTACGTAATAGTAAAAAAAAGAAAAAAAAAAGTGTATTGATACGTACTGTATACGTAGTGAGAGCAAGGCAGTACAGTACGAGACGCAAAATTTGGAAATCATGATAGTACATACATTCTGTAGAAGAAAAAATCTCTTAAACAAAGATATTTTTCCTATAAGCTGTTCTATTCTAACACAAAACAGGATCAAACCAATACCTACCCTAACCCTAACCTCAAATAAGTTATAAAAATTGAATTTTATGAGTTTATGCTAACTATGCGTACAATCAAAAATTAGTTTAATTTCGTACAATATTAATTACTAAATACATATCTAAAAAAAGCATAATGCACTTCAAATTGAAGTACGTACGTACGTACTTACCAACTCTATTACATCATACGTCAGGAGGGAATCCGAATAAAGAAATTTGTTATATAGTCTATATAGTCTATATAGTCTATTAAAAATTCTTTTAAGATTTCTTGCGAAGCACATATTTCATTATACAATGAAGCGGAATAAATCATAAAACAACTTTACTCCTGTTTTAATTTAAGCCGCAAAGAAAGATTTTTAATAAATCGTGTAACGTATTCCTTATACTTATGGTCTTGCAGTAAAGATTTAGGAAATTGTTATTGTGATTGCCGCTTTTATAAATGCTGCAAATTTTTTAAAAAGGAATTTTCAAAAAGAACCTTCTTTGGTTTTAAGTTGTTCACCAAAGTTTCTGTTTTTGACTGTGGTAAATCTTGTTTGTTTTTATTTGTGATAAATCAAAAAAAAAAAAAATTAATACATATGTTCTTACGTTGTAAAGGAAAATTGTGGCTTGAAATAAATTTTGTAGATATGGAGAGTCGGATGTATACTGTATTATATTTAGCAGACTGCTCATATCGTATGCTGAGGTTGCTCAGGTTTAATTAGTTAGTATGGAGGAAGTTCGAATTATCGAGTTTATAGAATTTATCGAATTTATAGAATTTATCGCATTTATTATCACATTTATTCGATTTCTCGTATTTATTCGATATATTGTACTGTACGTACGTACGTATGCACGCATTTCCACATTCCTACGTTTGGACTCCTAGATTCAGTAAGATCGTTACCGTCACTAAAAGAGGGATAGGCTAAAATCAGATACAGTCGGCTCCAAAAGTTTATCATGGTTACACAGAAACAAATTTATGTATATATGTTCTGCGTCGTTTCACAATTTAGATCAATTTGGAATTGACCACGTCATTTTTAAATTTTCACCGATTTAGAATTGATTTGTGTCGATTCTCAATGCATCTGTACGAAGCATTTTTTCGCTGGGGTGTGACCAATCAGTGGGTGTGACAAATAAACACCGACTAAATATATTTATTTAAATATTTAGTTGGTGTTTATTTGTCACATGTAATGATTGGTCACACCCAAACGTTAATCACAAAATTTAATAAAACTTCGAACTCAGAATTATCAATTTATTATGCTAAATGTATTACGTATGTCTAATTAATTAATAATGCAAAAGAAAAAAAAATAATAAAGCTTTTGAATGTATAATTTAAATAAATCTTTCTGTCTTTCTTAATTTTCGATATTAATTTTTAAAAATGGAACGATACAACTTTCTGGTGCGTGAAACCTTTGACCGAATATTAGAAACTTTTGTTCGTCAAAGGAAAAACAAACGTAGTTTAATGGATCGAAATAAATATAATCAATGTTTAAACGTACTTAAAAATCCAAACGATTTACAAAACCCAAATTTTAAATTTTGGGTGACTCATAATTTTAAAATTCTTTATGTTGGTATGAGCGAAGAACTTCATATCATTAAGTCAAGCGGAAATAATCTGGGAACACAAGTTTGTCCCATTGAAAATTTTATGAAATAATTTGTGGCGCACATCAAGCAACGGAGCATGCTGGTCAAGACAATACCTGGCGAAAGGTTTTATTATTATTATTATTATTATTATTATTATACTTATTTTTTTAATAACATAATAAGACTCGTATGCGGTATTGTTTTATTCCACAAAAGATAGCTGATGATGCCATTCGCGAATGCAGAATTTGCATTACAAGATGTGCCTTTATAAAAATTTCACCTATCCAACTAATTATTTCAGAAGGATTTTTGCAACATATTCAGGTAAAAGTGATAGCATATCTTTTTTTTTTTTTTTTTTTATAAAATATTTATTTGTAGATAGATATTATTGATTTGACATCAATGCCTGATAGAATATATAAATACATTTTTCATATCAGGGATCATTTTTCAAGACTTTCATATGCAGAACTCTCTTCATCTAAGTCAGCAGAAGAAGTAGCAGCATGTTTACTTAACTTCTGTATGATATATGGTCCTCCTATTGTATTACATTCTGATAATGGTGGTGAGTTTGTTGGAAGAGTTATTAAAGAGACTTTAAGTCTCTGGCCAACTATTAAATTGGTAAATGGTAGATCAAGAAACCCATGCTGTCAAGAATTGGTAAAAAAAGAAAATAGTATTCTCCAATCTAAATTAGGATCCTGGATGGAGTAGATAGGCTGAACTAACTGGAGTATAGAATTAAAAGTTGTTATTTGTGTGTTTTTTTTTCTTTTTATTATTTTTTGGTTTATTTTTTTTTGAATTTTTGCTTATTTTTTTTTTAATTTTTTTACTTTATTTTTTTTTAAATTTTATTAGTGTCATTAGAATGTAGATACCCTTATATAAAATCTTAATTTACAAAAAATACATTTTTTATTATATTTTTATATTAGCTTTAATTTTATTGATCTAATAAATGATGCATACAAATTGCATTATACAATTTTTTATTTTTTTTTATTTAATTATTTTTATTTAATTTTTTATTTATTTATTTTTTTAATTTAAATTTTTTTATTTAATTTTTTTTATTTAATTTTTTTTTATTTAATTTTTTTTATTTAATTTTTTTTATTTAATTTTTTATTAATTTTTTATTATTTTTTTATTATTTATATAGTTATATTTTTTTATTTTTTTATTTATTATTATTTATTATTTGTTATTATTATTTATTTATTTATCATTTTTTTATTTTTAATTTTTATTATTTTACATATTATTATTATTTTATTTATTATACTAACTTAATTAAAATTAAACATTAAAATTATTTAGGAGTTATAAATACTCAGTATTGTTCTGCGTATAAATCAATTCTTTATAAATTAGTATTTGAACAGCTTCCCTACTGCAATACTAATTTAGTTAATATATTAGAAAGTGAAGAGTCATTAAATGATCATGCTCTAATATTTGAAGATTCCCAATCAACTATTGTTTCTGAAATTAGCAATAAAACAATAGAATCAGAATTTTCAAGTGATATAAAACAAGATCAAGAAAATTATAGTGATGTAGATGTTGATATATCTATAATGCAAATGAAATATGTAGTGACAATAATAGTATACAAGAAATTGATGATAATAGTGTACAAAAAATTTATAATGATTTATTTTTATTATATTGTTCTAAAATTAAAGAGGGTTCTAAAAATATACTAGAACAGAGAATTATTAAAATTATCAATTCAGATGATGATTTTGAAATTGAGAGTGTTCTAAGAATACAGTTCTAGAAATTATTGAAATAATCGATTCTGATGATGATTCAAGTGAAAATCGACATTACACTTTATAAGAAAAAAAAAAGTAGCAAGCTCAATCTGAAGAAATTAAGGTTAGTTAAATTACTGTATTAGCAAAAATAAATAAACAAATAAAAAATGAAAAATAAATAAATAAATAAATAAAATAAATTAATTAATTATTAACAATAAATTTTTTTTTACAGTCAAATTTAACCTATCCATCATTTGAAAAGCATAAAACAATTTAACAATTAGCAATTTTAAACATAAAAAGAAATCAGAAGCTTATATGAAGTAGAATGAAAGAAACTTATAAGGTTAAATGTAATAGAATATTTGAGTCTAGTGATTTTATAAAAATTCATATACCA